CCATGAAGACAGGAGGCCACCAAAAGTATCAGTTTATCAAAGAACCCTGATAAACTACCCCCACTTTCAGTGGGCACCATAAAGGAATGCAACCTACAGATAAGACTGAACTGGAATAAAACCAACCATTCTCTAGAACTGCAACTGGGCTGTGTATCCCTTCAGGAGTTCAAGGAACCTTACACTTTGAGCTTAGATTGCTGTAGTCACAAAATACTACTGTCCATAGGCATGCAGCAGAAAAAATAATTGAAAAATCTCTATAAGAAAGAATCCATCATCCTGGGTTTTAATTAATCAATAAAATAACAATTTTTAAAATAACTGTATATGACAGTATAATAACAAGGCCCAACAGGAAATCAACAGCACAACCAAGAAACAGCACAAAAAACAGATAACAGAAGTAGTCATAAGACGTCATATGTCAAAATATCAGACACGTACTACAAAACAAATAAGCTAATTATGTTCAAAAAACAAAAGCCAAAATTGAAAATTCAAATAGGAGACAAGAAAAGATAAAAGTCAGTGAATCATACTTTTAAAAGAACCAAACAGAAATTTCAGAACTGAAATATAAACAATTGAAATCAGGAACTCAATGGGTGATTAATTAAATACAGCATAAGGGAAGGGAAGAAAGACAGAAGAAATTTTCCAAAAAAGACGAAAAATATCAAAGAGGGCATAAGAAACATAAGAGATATATTAAGGAGGTCTAAAATGAAAGTTATAGGTTTATTCATTTGTGTGTGTGTGTGTGTGTGTGTGTGTGTGTGAGATTGTTTCAGAAGTAATGGTGGAGAATTTCCAAAAAAATATTAAAAGACGTTAATCCACAGAAAAAATATTCAATAAATTCCATGTACACATGTATGCAAATGAGCGAAAAGTTAAAGAGAATCTAAGAGAAACAGAAATTCATAAAGGCTACCAAAAGCAAAAAGCAATTATGTCCAAATAAGCAGAATACAGAATGAGTGGGGAAGTCTCGCCAGAAACAGTGAAATAATATTTTCAATAAATTGAAAAAAATACTAGCCAAACTAAGATTTCTAATTATTTCTTTTTCTTTTCTTTCTTTTTTTTTTGGTACAGACAGGTTCTATGTTACCCAGACTGATCTTGACCTCCTGGGCTCAAGGGATCCTCCCACCTCAGCCTCCCAAAGCACTGGGAACACAGGGATGAGCCACTGCACACAGCCAAGATGCCTAAGAGGAGTAAACACGCATTTCATGAACGAGGCAACACAAAGTCATTGGCTGTCAACAAAAAGAGTTTGTCACAAGTAAACCTCTAACAGAAACTACCAGAAACAAAGTAAGACAAACAAAAGGTAAATATGTGGGAGGAATGGAATGAATGATGACTAAAATAATAAGAGAAATGGCCTTGAGGGATAATTGTACTCAAGTCAGGAGACAGTAAACGGACTTTAAATGTTCTAAGCTCCCTTGTACAGTCTGGCAGCTCAGGCGAAAACATACTGTTATCAGATTTTTTTTTTTCTTTTTTTTTCTTTTTTTTTTTTGAGATGGAGTCTCGCTCTGCCGCCCAGGCTGGAGTGCAGTGGCCGGATCTCAGCTCACTGCAAGCTCCGCCTCCCAGGTTCACGCCATTCTCCTGCCTCAGCCTCCCGAGTAGCTGGGACTACAGGCGCCCGCCACCTCGCCCGGCTAGTTTTTTGTATTTTTTAGTAGAAACGGGGTTTCACCGTGTCAGCCAGGATGGTCTCGATCTCCTGTGGTAATGCAGAGGTTCTACCAAAAGATCAGAAATATTTATAACCCCCAAACTTGTACAGGAAAAAAATTAAGTGATAAATACTGCAAAAGAAAGAAAAAAAAGGAAGAAGACCAGAGACTGTACAAGAAGAAAATATTTTTTAAAATTAGAAATTTAAACTCAAATATACCAGCATTTCTGTTAACTTTCTAAGGAGCAAATGGTCAAGACACAAGACGAAGATATCAAACTGGGCTGAAAAATTATACACTGCTTACAGAGGCACATGTGAACTGTCTTCATACAGGTAGGTCGAGAGTAAAAGGATGAAGAAAGCCACAGCATGCGAAAGATAACCATCAGGAAAGAGGTAGAAATCCACCTGGAGCCCAGACTATCAGCTTCCCAACTGCTGGGGAGCGGCAGGGCCACGGCGGAACTCGCCTCAAAATTCAAGGACACAAGGTCTGTCTACCACTAAGGCACAGGGAACAGAAAACAGCCCTCCTGTACCCATGGGAGGGCTAACCGGGGCCCAAGGGAGTCTCCCCCTGGGAAAGAGGCACAGGCATAAAGACACGGCTCCCATGAAGCACGGGGTCAGAGGCAAGCCCTCAAGCTCAGGATGAAGCAGGCATGCAGAAACCCCACAAGCAGCCCCTTGGTGCACATGTGAAAACTACAGCAGGAATGCTTTCAGCTCGACCCAGCTCATGCCTGCAGTGACTCAACACGCCCTGCCACCCACCCCGTCCCCCAAAGGCCTAACAGAAGAAGAGTTGACACTGTTTTTAGGCATAAGTATGCCTTTCTCAGTCTCTCCTGTCCTACTCCACCCCTTAGTCATCAGCCCATAATTCCCCCACTCACCCACCCCAGTCCTAGGCAAGCACTAATCTATTTATCTCTGTAGGCCACATGTGTTGTTTGAATGGTGTACTGGACTGAAGAGGGTCCTGTCAAAATTCACATCCACCTACAACCTGTGACCACGACCTTACTTGGAAACAGGATCTTGGCAGAGGTAATCACATTATGATGAGGCCGTACTAAATAGGAAGGGTCCTGAATCCAATGTGACTAGTGTCCCTATAGAGAACCGGAACTCTGGACACAGAGATGCACAGGGAGCAGGCAACATGACATCTGAGGCAGGATCAGAGTTATGCTGCCAAAGCCAAGGAACACCAAGGACGGTCAGCAACACCAGAACCAGGAGAGAGGCATGGAGTGGATTCTCCCTCCAACCCCACAGGAAGGACCCACTCAGCTGGAACCTGCATGATAGACGCTGGCCTCCTGAAGCGTAAGAGAACAAATTTCTGTTGTGTTAAGCTACAGTTTATGATCATTTGTTATGGTAGTCCTAGCAAACCAACACAAATTTCATAAAACTAGAATAAACTATCTATAGAAATCTAATAGATAAAGAAATAGTGGCATTTTCTTAGAAAACGTATCATACAGGAGTTCCATGAAATAGCATGAATCTCACAAATACCATGCTGAAAAAAGAAGCCAGGCACAGAAGAATAAATACTATACAATCCCATTAATATAAAGTTTTAAAAAACAAACAAAAGCAATAACACTGCTTAGGTATGTATAATTCAAAGGAAGAATGATATGAAAACTGAGGGTTCTGAGAAGTCAGATAGGAGACAGCTCTAGGGAAGATGGAGGGGGAATCAGAATCATTGAGAAGGGGAAGAAAATGAGGCTGGTGTAAAAAGAGGGGGCTGTTTTGTAAATACTTCTAGACCCAGTTGATGTTTACATCAATTTTTGCTTTATAATAATGTTCAATTATACACCTGTGTTCTATGTATGTTTCTGTATAGTTCACAATTTAAACAAAAGAAAAAAGGGAAGGAGGAAGGAAATAAAGCCACCAGTTACAACGCCGGTAGCTTCCTGAGATTTGGTTAGAACTAAGGAATATGTCCCCCAAAGCCAACAGTTCCAAGGGCAGCCACTTGATTCTCAACCTCCTCACTGTGGCAGAGGTGCCGATTCCTCTGGGAGCCTGGCTGGGTGGTACAGCAGTGGGGGTCACTCCGGAAGTTCACTCTGGGTACCCTTCCTTCCTCCATCCTTCCAAAGATTTTATAATCACTGAATTACTTCCTATTTATAATAGCTAGAGTAATTTCTCTTAACAGCACATACACACTGACAAATACAGTTCATCTAGAAAGGTTCAAGAAAAAAACAAAGTGGTATTTCCAACATAAAGTATTAACAGTGACAAAGCAGAGGTCTAGATACTGAACTTTAGAGGGATACTTATCTGTCATTCCTAACAGATGTCTTAGCACAAGCATAAAAACTAAGTATTTTTAATCCTTTGGGTATATACCCAGTAATGGGATGGCTGGGTCATATGGTACTTCTAGTTCTAGATCCTTGAGGAATCGCCATACTGTTTTCCATAATGGTTGAACCAGTTTACAATCCCACCAACAGTGTAAAAGTGTTCCTATTTCTCCACATCCTCTCCAGCACCTGTTGTTTCCTGACTTTTTAACGATCGCCATTCTAACTGGTGTGAGATGGTATCTCATTGTGGTTTTGATTTGCATTTCTCTGATGGCCAGTGATGATGAGCATTTTTTCATGTGTCTGTTGGCTGTATGAATGTCTTCTTTAAAGACACATGCACACGTATGTTTATTGCGGCACTATTCACAATAGCAAAGACTTGGAATCAACCCAAATGTCCGTCAGTGACAGACTGGGTTAAGAAAATGTGGCACATATACACCATGGAATACTATGCAGCCATAAAAAAGGATGAGTTTGTGTCCTTTGTAGGGACATGGATGCAGCTGGAAACCATCATTCTCAGCAAACTATCACAAGAACAGAAAACCAAACACCGCATGTTCTCACTCATAGGTGGGAACTGAACAATGAGATCACTTGGACTCAGGAAGGGGAACATCACACACCGGGCCTATCGTGGGGAGGGGGAGGAGGGAGGGATTGCATTGGGAGTTATACCTGATGTAAATGACGAGTTGATGGGTGCTGACGAGTTGATGGGTGCAGCACACCAACATGGCACAAGTATACATATGTAACAAACCTGCACGTTGTGCACATGTACCCTATAACTTAAAGTATAATAATAATAATAATAATAAACGAAAAAAAAACTAAATATTTAACAGTTTATGGAGTTAATTTTTTAACTTTTATAAAACGGAGTGGAGAAGGAAGGGTAAAGTACAGAGGCATGGAGAGGAATAAAAAACAGTTGTTGTTACCTGGAGTCTTGTATTCATTTCCAAGAAATAAAAATTCTTCTTAGAGTCCACAAGGAACTCTACGGTCCCAGCAGAGGAATATTTTACTGCTCTGGCAAGAGCTACAGCTTGTTCTCCCATTGCTCTTCGAGTCTCCGCATCCAAAAAAATGCTACATATACAGAAAAGGTGTTTGTCCACATTTTGGACAAAAATCAAGTTATCTTTTGTGCGCATTACATAAACGTTTTCTTAAAGTTTACTCAGATATAGATCATCTATATCAATTTAAGAATTCAAAATATGATGCTTTATATACATTTTATAATATATGTTGACTATATTATTACGCATAACATGCTTAAATAAGTCAACTTTGGATTTGTATAAAACTAACATTTGAACTTTTCACATTACTCTGCAACTTGAATCCATTTAAAAAATATAGCTTAACTTGCCTGCCTGAAGGTGCATTTGGTATCTTGAAGCCAAACATGCAGGATTTAGTGGATATATTGCTGATTCTTGTTATCTCTTCAACTTTTAATATTTAACATATATACATATATATTCCGAATTGCTTCGAGCCAAAAACTGGGAGAAAAATAACTTCTTAGAAACTAACATACACAATCAATCCTCATTGTTCCTGGAGTCCATATTTACAAATGTGCCTACTTGCTGAAATTTATTTGTAACCCCAAAATCAATACTTAAGGCGCTTTCATGGTCCTTTGTGAACAAGTGCAGAGAGGTGAAAAATTTGAGACTCCAGCATGCTAAGGCTGAACAAGGTGATGCTCTCCCTTCCTGTTTCAATGCTCATACTATAACAAGCGTCCTTTTCAAGGTCTATTTAGTGTCACTTTTTTTGCATTTGTGTGTGTTTGTGTGTGTGTGTGTCATTTCACTGCGTGAAATGGCCCTCCAAGCATTGTGCTTAGGTGTTGTCTGGGGTTTCCATGTGCAAGAAGGCCAAGAAGTACTGTCTGGAGAAAATGTGTGTGGAATAAGCGTCACTCAGGCATGTGTTAGTCTTGTTGGCCAGGATTGTGAGTTCACTGTTAACGAATCAACCACAGATATTAAATAAGAAATATACATAAAACAAAATTATGTGTTAATCCACTGAGGAAAATGTTATGAGCAAAGGCTCACAGGAACCTAACACTGTATTTCCCCTGGGGCAATTATTCAGTGTAGACTAATTCAGTAATCAAGGTGACTTTGGAGAACATAACCGCCACAAGTAACAAGAATCAGCAATATATCCACTAAATCCTGCAGGTTTGGCTTCAAGATACCAAACTCACCTTCAGGCAGGCAAGTTAAGCTAAAATGATTTCAACAAACCCTGAAAAAATATCATCAAACCACTTCTGCATTTTCACAGATTTTGCTTCTATGAAAGAAAGGCTCTGAGAAACAAAACATTAACGACTTTTCTACTTGTGGGTTAAAATTATTCTCAAATGAGCAGGATTGAGACAACATGCTAGAAAAGCTTTATTATGGAATAGTATAATAAACTTGCATGAACCTGCCTCCAATATATAGTAATTATTAATACATATCCACTCTGGCTTTATTTGTGCTACATGTCCAATTCTCTACCAGGCCCACCCTTTATTGTTTTTAAAGTGAATCTCAAATTAGGTATCATTTCACTTGTAAAAACATACGTATCTGTTTCTATGAGATAAAGTACTGTTTTGTGACACAACTATACAAAAAACAAGAACTTCTTAAAAACATTTAATATCCACTTCTTAAAAGCATTTAATATCCACTTGGTATTCAAATTTCTCTATCTCATAAATACCTTTATACAGCTGATTTCTTTGAATCAGGATCCAAATAAGGTCCAAAACTGCATTTGATTGGTTTTTGTATCTTAAGACTCTTTTAATCTGGAATGCCCCCTTCCCCATTTTCTGGCCAAGGATCTGGTCATTTTACTGTCTCATTCCTCCCATTCTTGGTTTAACTGCATGCAACCCCACGGTGTCTTTTAACATTCACATTACATTTCTATTTCATATAGATTGCTAGTTAGACTCAGAGCCTTGAATATATTCAAGTTGGCCTGGTGTGGGGAAGGGGGAAGAATTCACAGGTAGGAAGTGTACTTCCTACTGTCTCCCTTTTGGTGAAGTTAGAATAAAATAATGGGTTCAAGTGTTTTGAATTTTATCGATAATATAGTTTGCATTAAGCTAATGTATAGACATAGATGACATTTCAATAATAATTGGCTGACAAAACTAATGCAACTAAAAAAAAAACAACTAACAATTAATATCAAAACATTTGGAGAATCTCAGTGCAGTTGAGTGAAACTCTCTTTCTCCTATTTGATCTTGCCTTTGTCCTTTTCAAAAGCCCTGCTAGATACCCAGAGATATGAATGACCCTAACTAGCATTGCCCTCAAACCACATTAGTAGATTCTTTTTTTTTTTTTAATTAATTTTTTTTTGTTTTTGAGACAGGGTCTTGCTCTCTCACCCAGGCTGGAATCCAGTAGCATGATCTCGACTCACTGTAACCTCGACCTCTGGGTTTAAGCAATCCTCCCTCCTCAGCCTCCTAAGTAGCTGGAACTATAGGCATATACCACAACGGTCAGCTAATTTTTTACTTTTTTGTAAAGATGAGGTCCCACTATGTTGCCCAGGCTGGTCTCAAACTCTTAGGCTCAAGCAATCCTCCCACCTCAGCCTCCCAAAGGGCTAAGATTACAGGCGTGAAGCCACCGTGCCCAGGCAATTCTTACTCTAGGAACTGAAAACTGCACATTCCATTTATTTTAACATTTCACGGTGTACAAATACATATCAAGTCAGTATTAATGATGAGTTCTAGTTTTTTCATTTTGATTCCTACTGCTGTAAATTTTCCTTTTTTTCTCTAAATAAGTAGATATGGTATTCATTATGAGAAGTTTACATTTCTAGACAAAGAGAAAAAACAAACAGATTTTATGATTCAAAGTTCCCAGTGTGGGAAAGATTTCTATCCCAGGTAAGACTTGAGTAGATTTTGACTAAAAACAGAAGGTTAATTGAATTGGAATTGATAATGCAGTCAAGGAAACAGAAAATTACAAGACAAGTGTGCTGAAGACTCTTACTGTTCTACCGGGATCCTTCTTCCCCTTCTTCCATACTACAGTATTACAGTACTACAGCATTAGTTCTAGCTCAGCACACGGTTTCTTAAGAAAAAGATATTTATAAGTCTCCCTAGCTAAGTGTCTAACTTCAGATCAACACCAAGTAATTAGCTTCAGCATCTTCCAGGATCTTCCTAAAGACACAGGAAGAGGATTCCCTTTGGCTTTTCTTCTTCCTCCCTTCTTACATCCTGGTCCTGGGCCTTGAGAACAAATGGCCACATCTTATGTAAGCTACACAGTTCTTCACAGCATACTGGCTGGCGTGTAAGCACAAGCATCCCATGAGAACAGGAAGTGGAAGCTGGCAGTTTCCCAAGGCCTGGGCTGGAAACTGGCACAGCATCACTTCTAAGTAGTCTGTGGGTCAAGCATTCACACAGCACGGAATCAAGAAAAGGGAACACTGATCCTTCCCCTCACTGCTCAAAGAGAAAAATGTCAAAGGATTTGGGGTCCATGCTTTAAAACTAATACACCATGCTATATTTTTAAAAACCAATATAACTAAAATAGAGTTTAATTTTTACCATTACTCTGGGATTAAAAATACACTCACATTCTCACTATTTTCAGAAACTATATAGGCATTATATCAAGATATAGCTATATATCAGCTAGCTCGGCTGATTAAAGCTACAATAAGCTATATTTCTTAGTGTCTGGTAATTAAAAATTACTAGGAACACTCACCTGAGGATTTTTAAGAACAAAGAGAATACCAGAGTATATACAAATAGCAAACTAGCATCAAATTAGAAATGAGGCTCCATACACCAAACTCATGAAAGGTGCCCTGGAGAAGTACCCAAAGTGGCTCTGATAATTCAAGGAATTTCCAAGAACCACACTCCAAAAGCCTTTCATGGTAGGATAAATTCAGGACCAACTTTATGAACCCTTCACCAACATGAAAGTCTAGAAGGCATATATCTTGGAAATCCCGTGAAATACCATCAGGTTCCATACGTCCTAGAAGCCTGCAGAAGTCATAGTTGGTTGTCTACCCAACTTCTCCTCTAATAAAAACCCACTTCTTTTTCAAGTATTCTCTCATTTTTATACATTAAAGCACTGAAGAAATCAAGTAACAAATTCTTAATTATAAAAATATGCAGTAAGAGAGTCCACATGAACATTAGTGCAATTGTAGCCAATAAAGCAAAAATACAAAAAGAAATGTGGCTGGGTGCAGGGGCTCACACCTATAACCCCAGCACTTTGGGAGGCTGAGGTGGGCTAATCTCTTGAGGCCAGGAGTTCAAGGCCAGCATGAGCAACATGGCAAAAACCCCATCTCAACAAAAAATACAAAAATTTTGGGCATGGTGGCACTCGCCTGTAGTCCCAGCTACATGGGAGGCTGAGTTGGGAGGATCACTTGAGCCTGGTAGGTGGAGGCTGCAGTGAGCTGTGATTGTACCACTGCATGTTAGCCTGGGCAACAGAGTGAGACCCTGTCTCTGAATGAATGAATGAGTGAATGGATGAAATGCATAAAAGCAGCCGCTTTATCAACGTTCCCTGGGAGAGACTTACCTTGGTGCTTCTTCCACCACCTTCTGATTTCTTCTCTGAATTGAGCACTCTCTTTCATTAAGCCACAAAGCATTCCCATGTTTATCACCTAGAACCTGAAAGAGCAATATCATTTGAAAAACCATATAACCACATCCACAAGGTAGATGATGGTTAATATTTTCCCCATGCAACATCTCTTGGTTTTTAATACTCAAACCTCATAGTATATACGTACCTCTCAAAACATTATTTTGATTCATGTTAATAGAGGAAAACTTTATTATTCCAAAGCTCAATAAAACATTTTTATCAAAAAGATGTGAGGAAAAAGTGTTCATATCAGCTTTCAAATACAATGAGTAAAACATCAGAATCAGTTGTACAAATTTTGTGAAGGACGCTGAGTGTTAGTGAAGGGGATAAACACTGGATGTCAATGTTGCTGAGGACTGCCACCACAGCTTTATTACAAACATCTGCTTGGAGTTAACATTATTAAATGTCTGTTGATTGGGAAATGACACTGTATGTATTTACATCCAATATGTAATCTGTTATTTATCTATGGATGTCTTTACTGTGGTTTATTTTTGTTCTAGGAAACTGGTAAAAGGTCTGGAGTTAATATACAACACATTATAGTTTTTCCCATTTGCGATGCTCGTTGAACATCTCTAACCTGAAAATCTGAAATCCAAAATGCTCCAAAAGCTGAAATTTTTTGACATGATGCTCAAAGTAAATGGTCACTGGAGCATTTTGAATTTTCAGATTAGGGATACCCAACCAGCAGGTATAAATGCAAATATTCCAAAACCCAAAAAAATCTGAAATCTGAAACACTTCTGGTCCCAAGCATTTCAGTTAAGAGATATATTCAACCTGTAATGGAAAATAAGCTGAGATTGCCAGATAAAATACAAGATATCCAGCTACATTTGAATTTCAGATAAACAATGAATAATTTTTTTCTAGCTATGCCCTGAGTACTACATGGAACAAAGATTTAAAAAAATTATTGTTGATCTGAAATTCAAATTTAATATGTATCTTTTTCAGCTAAATTTGGAAACTCAAAAGCAGCTCTTTATTAAAGTTTTTGCCTACCACATCTGATTTTCAGAAATGGACCAATCTATTTTCAGATTTAAGGAGTTGATGTATATTTCCAAATACATATATTAGATTTACAGAGGTAAGATCTGTTTTAGAAGCCAAAAGACCAGGCACTAATTTTAGTTCCAAACAGCTATGCAACAACTTTGGACAAGTCATTCTGTTTCTTCGTGCATTATAAACAGCAGATAACATCAGTCTTAATATTTTATATGGCTGCTGAAAAAAACCAAATAAATAAAGATTATGGTTATAATTGGTCAAATGTAAAATAAATAGTTAATATATGACTGTAAAGTTAATTTTTAGGAACAAACCCTTTCTGAAACTCAAGAATGATTCCAAGCAATGAAGGAAAACATAACAGCAATAAAATGCCAATAAGTTGGAATTTTCTAAGACTCAAAGGTGGCTGCATGAAGTAAATCTAAAAATATCTGAAATCATTAAAATAACTCTCAACTTCTTTTTAAATTCTAGTTGATGAGAAAGTAAAAGTAGACAGTCTCCAAGCAATAAAGCCAAAATAACCATGAATTCTCAGAAATATTTCCAACTATAAAATATCAGATTCATATACAGAATCAAGAGTTTGTTCTTCTCTAAATTCTGTAGAGTCTCCCAGTTCATTTTTTTAAAATTCTGTGTACTTACTAGGCACTCAACAAAAATGATTTGGTGATTATTTATTCCATTAAATAAATGAGGAAGCCATGAAATCAGAAAACATTATAAATAAATACTGCTTTTAAGAGCAGTTAATCCTTAAATGCATCATGAGTTTTTAAAAAAATGTATAGGTTTACACATACTGAATGTAGAAAAATCTCTAAGTTATACTGCTTTTTGAAAAAGCTTTCTTATAATAGACTATGTCACATAATGCAAGCCCGTTGGTACCCCTAGACCCAACCCAGGAAACGCCAGTAGTGCCCTGGTTGAGAAATACTGGTTTACGCCACAAAGAGAGGTGCCATTCACGCTACCAGTGCAGTTTCATTGTGGAAAGGACATAGTATATAACGGCTAATGTGAAAAATAATAGGAGACACACACATATATATACTTCATAGACTATGTACAGAGGAATAGCCAAGAAACAGTAACAGTGCCTGCATTTAGGAACAGAAACTAGAGGACTTAGGGATAGAGTAAAAGGGATGCTTACTTTTTATTAATTATCCTTTATCATGTGCAGAAATTACCTAATATAAATAAATAAGTGAAAACTAAAGAAAAGTAAACTAAAAACCCTTCCAAGTATAGATCAGATATGAGAACATCTGTGTTGCCTACTTAAGTTACTGGGAGGCATTTTCGCCTATGTTTGAAAATATCACCCAGGCTGTATGCCACGGCTAAATAAAATAAACTAAAAAGCTGATCTAGATATGTAATTACTTAACACAAAATAACAAACATTTATTGAGTATTAGTAAAGCGAAAGACAATGGTCTGGTTGCTGGGGACAGCAAATGAGTAAGACCTACTCTCTACGCTCAAGGACCTCATGGCCTATTAGGAAATTCAACTAGTTAAAGATAAAACAGCCTACCTAAGTGGTCTTCCAGTAGTGTGAACAAGTGCTAGATGGGGAATACAGTGAAGGACAAAATTAATGCTGCCCCTAGGATCTTACAAGAACGACAATCTAAATATCTCCCTTAAATTACAGATTTAAAGAGCCAAGTGTCTACTCAACACCTACACTTAGATATCTAATGAGCATTTCAACCTTGATTTGTTCAACTTTATAACCGGATTTCCTCCCTCGGAAACAAGCACATCTCACAGTCTTTCCTATCTCAGTAAAAGGCCATTCCATTCTTCTCATTTCTCAGGCCAAAACCCTAAAATCACCTTATTTTTTTTTTTTCTTGTACATAACATCCATCTATTAGAAAATCTGATCTACCTTCACAAAATACCCAGAATTCAATCACATCTTACCACCTCCACTGCCAACCCTATGGCCCAAACCACCATCATTTTCTCAGCCAAATTACGACAGCAAGAACCTCAAAAGGGATCTCTCGGCTTTCATGCTGGCTCTCAATTGCTAAGAACCAATGACTACTGTGTGCCTCCCTTTCTTAACTGTGTCAAATAGGGGTATTTATTGGAGTGTCATATCCTTTTCTCATCATTGTACACTGGATGAATGAATATCAGACTTTAAATTCAGGTATTTGCACCAGAAGAACTGTTCTTGAAGGACCATACACAAGAAGTCTCAGGCCGGGCACAGTGGCTCATGCCTGTAATCTCACCACTTTAGAAGGCTGAGGTGGGTGGATCATTTGAGGTCAGGAGTTTGAGACCAGCCTGGCCAACATGATGAAACCCCGCCTCTACTAAAAATACAAAAATTAGCTGGGCATGATAGCACACGCCTGTAATTCCAGCTACTCAGGAGACTGAGGCAGGAGAATCACTTGAACCTGGGAGGCAGAAGTTGCAGTTAGCCAAGATTGCGCCACAGCACTCCAGCCTAGGCGACAGAGCGAGACTCCGTAAAAAAAAAAAAAAAAAGTCTCATCCAGACCTGGACCAAGTTGGAAAGGAAGTTGCATGTATTCTGTTTATGACAGGGCATGATCATTGAGGGCCAAAGAATGGGTTGTGGTAGGTAGTATCCAAAGATGACCCCATGTACAACCCAAATCCTGGTAATCCCACCCTTACATAATCCCATCCAGCAATGATTCTAGACTGGGAAGGAACTTTGCAAATGCAACAAAAGTCATTTTGTGCCGGTTCTGAGCCTAAACCTTCAAAGGGTAGGACAGTGATTTCAAGCAGCTCTGACCAGTGACAAGAATTCTGGATATACTTGTAGAAATGCTACATGGAGAAGACATGTACAGATATCCCAAGACATCACAGAGAGAAAGACAGAGGCCCCACTGCCCACCAAAGTGTCTCAGCTGAGCTCAGGCTTTACACTATCCTTCCAGGGCACCTAACACGGGACACTCAGTCAAGTCACAGTATAACGACTGCCCCAGAGAACAATGTGTGATGCAAAAGCAGTGGCAGCTGAACCCAAGTAACCCACAGAATCATGAGGAATCGTTAAATGTTGTGGTGTGCTTTGTGGGAAAACATACTATAACAAAAAATTGACCATTTTAACCATTTTTAAGTGTACAGTTCGGTGATCTTAAGTATATTCAAATTCTTGCATAGCCTTAAATGTTGTTTTAAATCACCACATTCTGGGGTGGCTTGTCACTGAGCAAAAGGTCATCAAAATACACAAAATAAACAAGTGGATTTACCAAAGACACCAGATCCGAAATAATATTTATAATAGAAAATAACGTTTATAACAGTATCTAAAATTATAACAGTATCTAAGCTATACTGCTTCCTGAAAAAGCTTTACTATAATAGACTATGCCACATAACGCAAGCCTCAAATATCTAAGAATAAATCTAATGAAAGATACACAAAAACTCTACACTCAAAAATACAAAACAGTGCTGAAAGGAATTAACAAGACCTAAATAATGGAAGAGATATTCCAGTTCATGGATCCATGAAAATTCAACTTTGTAGGCTGGGCACGGTGGCTCATGCCTGGAATCCCAGCATTTTGGAAGGCCAAGGCAGGCAGATCACTTGAGCCCAGGAGTTCGAGACCAGCTGGGCAACAAGACAAAACCCCGTTTCTACAAAAAAATGCAAAAAGTAGCTGGGTGTGGTAGCACACGTCTACAGTCCCAGCTACTGGGGAGGCTGAAGGGGAAGGATTGATTGAGCCTGGGAGGCCAAGTCTGTAGTGAGCCATGATTACACCACTGCACCCCAGCCTGGGAGACAGAGAGAGAGAGAGAGAGAGAGAGAAAAGAAGGAAGGAATGAAAGAAGGGAGAGAGAGAGGAAGAAAGAAAGAAAGAAGAAA